CAGTATGTGTCATTTAAAACTCACACTGAAAGGCATTATTTAAGACTAAATCTTGTTTCTCTGTCCAAGTGAGGAAACTTGATCTCTAAAGGTTTTGTTTTTTTAACCTTTATTGGATTATGGCGATCTGCTCTTTGTAAATGCACCAGGCCTGGGCGCCAGTTTGAGCAGGCCCTTCCCCTTTCTCTCTCTCCCTCCACTTTCCTGTCATTTCTTCACTGTCAGTAAAGCTGAAAATTGCAGCAGGCCAGACCTAAGGAAGTTGGATTCTGTCTGTCATTGTGCTTTTCATGTTATTGCTAGCTGTCCTGTCCTACATCATTCTGTGTGCTGCTTCAATGTTGCAATCTCTGTTTATCTAAAGATTTCCCCATTGGTTGTTTTTTAGCTATAAATTGTCGCTAGTTCCTCTTTATCTGCATGTGTAAAAACCACAGACGGTACACCATACAGGGTTTTAAGGTTGCTGTTGTAATAATCGGTTATTTTGTACGATTCACGTGTTTGTATCCACTTGTCTGTACTGAATATCATTTGTATTTGTTTCTTGCTATATAATGTGTTGTATTGTTGTAACTCTTACTGCCCCATTGCCCAGGTCCATATTGGAAAAGCGACATAAATGAAGGACAATAAGATTATAATAAAAACGACATTCGTTATCTTCATCATTAAATTGTATAACCATGACAGAGTTGTGTTGGACTTTGACATGACAATAATACTCCCTTGATTGTGTTAACCCCTGACGCAGTGCCCATTGTTCATATTGTTGATTAGATACTGTTGGGTTTTATTAATTAAATATAGGTTCTGACTGAATGTGTAATGCATCTTCATGCAGCTAACCCCTCTGCTGTTTTGCCCAGGTACTGATATCTCTGTTGGAGAGGAGGTCGCCATCAAATTGGAATGTGTCAAGACCAAACACCCACAGCTCCACATAGAGAGCAAAATCTACAAGATGATGCAGGGTGGAGGTACTGTACACTATGACACTCACTTTACACACATGCATCCATGCAGCTTTTATAAGTTCCTCATCATTTTAAAGTACTTGGATGGAGGCTGGTTTACACTTTTGTCATTATAAACCACAAAGAAAATGCTCCGTACTGGCTGTCTGGTAGACATTGGTAAAGGATGTTTGTTCATTCATTTTTTTTCTGTTATTAAAGTGACCCTCCTGAACTGAACACCACCCAATAGCTGGTGCTTAAAGCACACACCAAATGATTTTTCCCTTCCTTTTTCCTCCATTCCCTCTATTAATCACTTCTGACACCAGTTTTTTGTAAGCATAACATTAGCATTGTAATTGTCCATGAACTGTTTGGGCTATCTGACATTATGGAGTACAGTTACCGAGTGCTCCAGCGATACTCTGAGTCATTTGTTTACCATTGGCTGTCACATCATCAGCTGCTAGTGTCTCCTCCTCGTGTACCTTGTTGTCAAATCACTTGTTGGATCGTCAGTTTTTCCTGTAATTTTTGCGCACAGGTCATACAGTTTCAACTCATCTGTCATAGCTGTTGTTTCACCACTTTGACTTTAAACAAGAAGTAGAGATTAGGATAAGATAATACCTTAATTGATCCCACAACGGGGACATTTTTGCATTACCTCAGTTCAGGAACAGATATCAGAAGGAAAATACAAATAAAAAATAAGTAATATAATACACTATATACAACAGTAGCATACACAGTATGTGATTATGGATATGGTTGTGGAAATATGCAAGACATAAACTATATAGCTTAACATAACTATTCTACCACTACTATTCCTATGTATAGACATGTACACGCACACACATGTGCACACTAACGTTGAGTTTAAATCACTTAAAAGATAAATACACGAGTGTTGAGCCATGCAAGAGAAAGAGTTATTTACTTCAGTAAAGCTCTTTACAGTTCAAGCTTCATAAATCGAGGACTGATGTGGAGACTGTTGGAAAAACACAAGTAACACCTTTTTTCTATCGTATTAGGTAACAGGTTACAACTACATTTTCATGGAAGCGGGCCATCCTCAAAATGCACCACTGATACTAAAAAATATTCAAATTTGCACAGTATCGTGGCATGATAAAAACATAAAGCTGTACTTATCTCCTGTTGGTGTTGAAGAAACCAAAAGAAAAATGATTTGCATATAGTTTGTATTTAGGAGAAATTTCTGTTTGGGGAAAAATATTTACTGTTTAATGTCCATAGACACCGTGAATGGTTCCTGTTGATTTTTTATTTTTATTTTTTTTTAAGTTTAAACCAAAGTGATCATTCAGTCTAGCTAACTGGCTGATAGTCCGACTACTAGCGTAGCTTAAAGAACACCTTGTGCCACTGCAAAGGTACCAAGAGCAAAGGAAAAGAACATCTGACTCTGAAACATGCTCACACACTTCCAACGTGAAAGAAGCAAGAAAGGACTTGCTGCTTTGAGTCAGTAAGCATGGGTAAAGTTTAATTGTTCTGCCAGCTCAGTAGTGTCTGCAACATCATACCTGGGGTAGACTTGTTTGCATGTTTGTATTTCTGTACCTCATACTGTATATTACTACACTATTACTGTGTGGCATGAAATGTACATTTTGAAATGTATTTTTCTTTTGTGACTTATTGATTCATGTCGTCTATAGTACTGGCGTCTGCCTTTAAAACAGTAAACTTTAGAAGTCAGCAGTTTGTCTGTATGCACAGCTATGTCCCCACATGCATTTGTATTTTAGTTCCAGCATAGTTAGATTTATTAGGGCACAGTAGCCGACTCAGACTGTGAGATGTATTTGTGTTTGTATGTATATAAATAGCTTATGCTGTGTGTGTGTTGCTGAGCACCAGCATTTTGTTGCCGCTTGCCTGTAGAAGGAAATGCCAGATGGCCTATTCGCCTTGGCAGGGTCACCGGCTCCTACGAAACCAGCTGGCCTCTGTGTATGAGGGCAGGAGTCGAGCCATTTTTATTATTTGGAGTTGTATAAGTTTGTTTCAGGAGTTTTTTTTTTTTTTTTTCTAAATAATGCATGCAGAGTAAATGTGTTATGCATTTCCTGTTTACATATACACAGTGTGACTTGCTTACTTGGAAAAACCCCTTCATGACAGAAATCAGAAAAGTGTGTATGTGCGCTGCACTAATTGTGTTTGCTCAAAGACCTCAAAACACACAAGCTTGTCTGTAATACGATCCACAGAAAAGGGAAATGACATTGCACAAGTTCATAGTGTGAAGACCTGACATCATTGCTAAACACTGCCATCAGCAGTGACGGTTGATCAGACTCGCATACGTCTGTAGACTTCTGCAGATTTAACCCTGAAACGTGTTCACCAGTGCACATGTTTAAAACACCAAAAATAAAAACGGAGTAGAAATACTGTTATGCATACACACAAGGAGGGAAATCTACTTTGTTCAGGAGAAAGTTTGTAATTTTAATCCCTTAACACAAAAATGGGATTGAAATTACAAACTTTCTAAGTGAATGCCAATTAATCAAAAATGGTTTACCCATGGTCCCCCTCTGCAAACAACCCAACATCAAACCGCATGCTTGCATCACAGATTGACACATTATGGCAGACAGTTTTTGAAACCAAAAACGACAATAATTTTAGTTTGAGTTTACCAAAGGTTTGTTATTCTGGTTTTTTCTGATCACTGCCCCATATAGCATATTGACAAACATGTAATTATGAGCATAATGTGTTAATATGTGTGCAACCATGACCATGAGACTTGCTGTTGGGTTGCTTTAACAGAAGACGTGATTGTGGAGGAGTCACAGCTGTCAGTACTAAACACGCTTGACCTTTGGCTTCCTTATACAGGCCTGTAAAGTCCTATATTTGACTTTTAGGATTCTGATTTGAGGACTTGCACATTCCAGCCTTAATAGTGGCTGCAGTTTAATCAAGTTATTACAGTTTAGTGTCAGCTTGTGGTTCTCACTGAAGTGCCAACATGAACAAAATGGCACCAAACTATAAATGTGTTCCCTACATTTCTTGCAGTGGGTATTCCAACGATAAAATGGTGTGGCGCTGAAGGTGACTACAATGTGATGGTGATGGAGCTGCTGGGTCCCAGTCTGGAAGACTTGTTCAACTTTTGCTCTCGCAAGTTCAGCCTCAAGACAGTCCTGCTGCTGGCTGACCAGATGGTGAGTTCCCAAAAGGAAAAAGAAAGGGAATAAAATGAGGAATGCTGGTCCTACACTTGATGTTAAAGATGCATCACAAATTGTATGTACAGTAGTGCAGGACGGTTTAATCTCTTCACTGATTTCAAATATCTACTTTGGTTAAGCTCCTGGAATGACCCCTTGTGTTCATTTTTAACCACCGTTTTTCCTTCCAGATCAGCCGAATTGAGTACATCCACTCCAAGAATTTCATCCACAGAGACGTAAAGCCAGACAACTTCCTGATGGGCCTGGGCAAGAAGGGAAATCTCGTCTACATCATCGACTTTGGCCTGGCCAAGAAATATCGTGACGCACGCACGCACCAACACATCCCCTACCGCGAGAACAAGAACCTGACAGGCACCGCCCGCTACGCCTCCATTAACACACATCTGGGCATCGGTAAGACCGACCTCCACAAACTGATGATTAATAACTCTGATTCGTCCAGATCCCGACTGACCTGGCCCTCTCTCTGCATTTACAGAGCAGTCCAGGCGGGATGACTTGGAGTCACTGGGATACGTCCTTATGTACTTCAACCTGGGGTCTCTGCCTTGGCAAGGCCTTAAAGCTGCCACTAAGAGGCAGAAGTATGAACGCATCAGCGAGAAAAAAATGTCGACACCCATTGAGGTCCTCTGCAAAGGCTACCCGTGTAGGTTCTAGTGCTCTTATGTACCTATGAATAAAGGCACCACATCAGTGTTAGCCAACACTAATATTTTAAACACCTCTTTGTCCCCAAAGCCGAGTTTGCCACCTACCTGAACTTCTGCCGGTCTCTGCGGTTCGACGATAAGCCCGACTACTCATACTTGCGCCAGCTGTTCAGGAACCTCTTCCACAGGCAGGGATTCTCCTACGACTACGTCTTTGACTGGAACATGCTGAAATTTGTAAGTTATAGCTTCACATCTAAGAAGACTTTCTTTGTGCTTTTCACTACTGTCTTACTTTAATTATATAAGTGCTTTCGTTAGAAGGTTGTGCCAAAAACAAACAGTGTTTCTTAGGAATTTCATTGGCAAGCAGAATATGAGTCAAACTTGAGAAGAACTGGGTGATGTGTACTTTCTGTTTACAACTGGAACATCAGCATTCTCAGTGACATAAACGCAGCTATAAACATGTTGTGTAACATAATGTTAAGTTGACCTTCCACTGTTAAATGGCCTTGTGTATTCTGCCTAGATGCATTTTCATGCAACATGTTTGTTATTTTGTTTATTTTTTTTAAGTGTGCAGCTGTCTTAAAGGTTAATAACCTCAGCTGCCTTGTGTGTCAGGGTGCCAATAGGGCCGTGGAGGATGCAGAGCGGGAGCGTCGGGAACGGGATGAGAGAATGAGGCACAGCAGGAACCCCGGGGCCAGAGGTATGGCCTCGGCCTCAGGAAGAGCCAGAGCCCCTCAGGAAGTTGCAGCCCCCTCCCCGCTCAACCCCGCCTCACACACAGGTGAGCAAAAAATATGTTTTGTTTTTCCTTCTCTTTAAACAGTTGCTGAAATATTCAGCCTACCCTTGTACCTTTTTCTTTGTCTTTCAGGTATGGAGAAGGAGAGGAAGGTGAGCATGCGCCTTCATCGGGGAGCCCCTGTCAACATTTCCTCGTCAGACCTGACAGGACGCCAGGAAACATCCCGCATGTCCTCACAGGTAACACGAACTGCGTTACAAATATCATGTTGAAAATCCACAGCAGACAGCTGTTTGCAGCCACATTTCTTTAGGCTGTGGCATATCTCAAGTGACTGAGTAGCAGGGTACACGCTGTGCAGGTTGGCAGACCATAAAACATTGTCGTTAGAAACAATTACTGGGAGGACTTTATGATTGCGTGTCAGTTAATAAGAAGAACTTGAATCATTTGTGCTCAGTTGCCCAACAAATCCTGAAAACAGGAAGCGTCTAGCATAAGAGAACATAGTGTTTGTGCAGACACCACATGCATACATGTTCTCCTTTTCCCTCTGTTCAAACTGAACAGTATCTGTACTGATTCATTTCCACTGACACAGTCCTTCCCAGTTTGTAAAATAAGCGTAAAAGCACTCATGGAGTAAAGGAGGTCATTGTTTAAAGGCTTCATTAAGTCCTTTGTTCTCTTCTTTGCGTGGACCTCCACGCCCCCCAGAGGGCAAAGTGGAGAACTGCTGAACAAATGAAAAGAATCTGTCTCCTCCAGTCACTTTGACTTTTTTGTTTCTTTTTTCTTAATCGAGTGTTTAAAAAGTGAAACATTTCTGTGTATTATCCTACACAGAGACACGGGATAAGACATTGCATGTCAGTTTCATACTAGTTACATTTATCCATGAATAAAATGAACCATAATTAACTTGTTTCTATAGCTTTATGGAGCATTCGTTTAATGTTGTGGCAGTATGATGAAGAGAAAATTCAAATATAGAACACAAAGTCTGTGAAAATAGGAAAGTTACTTGCAACTTTTGTTTATTCAGAACAAAAACAAAGAAGTGTTTCCAAGGACAACCAATGGAGGCCGGTGATTTGTCCTTAGGTAGGCATCCAGCTCATTTATGCTTCTGGCTGGCTCCTGATTGGTCAGTTTGTACCTGCTGCACTGGCTTCTTCAGCATATATACAAGAGTATATTTACAGGGAAACACAGCCAAAGTAGTACATAAACTTCAGTGTGAATTATACTTCAGTGGGAAAGCTGCATCGCAACTTATGAAGTAACTTCTCTTTTGGCTCTCAGCGAAGGCGGTCGCACTTTTCTCCTCTCCTGCCCTTATCTTCCCTGCTTAGCCTCTTGTGTCCTTGTCTAGTCTCGTGTTTTTTGAATTACTTTCCCCTGGAACACTCTCTCACAGTCTGTTCTCTAAAACCTAAAAGAGGAATTATGGATTTGATCAACTGGTCTCTGAATGCAATTGACACCCCTTCTCAACGAGAAGTCTGGGCTTGGGTGAGCCTGAGTGCTGAGGATATCTACCTATTCGGAACCATGATAACAGGGTTCTGGTTCTTGGCCCTGACTTATCGAAGAATTAAGAAAGCGGAACCGGCTGTTCAAACCCCCACAAGGCTGCCCGCTGGGATTGAAACGATGGGAGAGGCGTGAGTTTCTCAAAATGGGCTCATTGAGTGCAGCACGGATAAGATCTTGGAGAACACACGGCTGCCGTGAATACTCAGAACAAGACCTCTGAGTGGAAAAAAACTGGATTACATCTGGAGGGGCTAGCTCGAACAACACCTTTGAGCGCAAATTGCATCAAATCTTGGGGCAATGCACTGCGATCGTGAGTTCTCAGAATCTGCTCTTTGGGCAAAAAGAATGACAACATCACGGAACGTAAGTTTGGATAACATCATAGAAAGCTCGCGGCTCTCCAACGGGAGATTGAGAGACCAGTGTTGGACTGTTAGAACAGCTTTGAAATTCATATGAGTTGTTCGCACTAAAGTAAAAACCACCATCACTTCATGCGGAGACCCCATCGGCGCCAGCTGCGGTCTCAAGGCTGGAGCTGAACAACAACACCCTGATAACGACTGTGTTTAGTCTGTTCCTCCCATTCCATGCAAGGTCACCTGGGTTGGCTGTAAGACTGTTTACTTAGCCTGGCAGGGCGAAGGACACTGTCTCAGCTGAACTATGGACACACACACACACATACACTGATATGCACACACTGATCCCCCCTCCCTTTCCAAACGCCTTTGATGCTTGTCCCCTCCCGGGGAAGATGGCGGTCGACTGGACCAGCGCAGACATGCTGCAGGACCGGATGCGCTGTCTACACCGGCTCTCTCTTACCCTTTACCCGCCCCTGTTGCTTGTCTTGTGTTTCTATGGTGTATTGATAATCATGTGCTTTTTGTGCTGAGGTGTCTTTTCTGTTATCAAACTGTTCTCCCACTAGGAGCTCAGTCTGAGTGGAGTTTTTTTTCTCCTCCTCTCACCTCATGTTATGTATTTTTGTTGTTTTTTTCCTATCAGCCTACCTTTCTGACATGTCTCCCCAATGTGATGTTTGTGTAAAGTTGGTCAGAAGGTTCCTTTGTAAGTGCGCATGCGCCATTAGCGTGCTGCCTGCTGTAACCCTAATTTCCTTCGGGATTAATAAAGTATTCTGATTCTGATTCTGAACCAGGAGCTGATGCGCACCTCCTGGGAAATGTAATCACACGTCAGGTCGACGTAGCCTGCAGCAACCTGAACAGTGAAGGTTGTGGTCTAAGGGGAAGTGGCGTTTCCAGCTACATTGCAAATTGGGATGTAGATTTCCCGCTGAAGTCTAAAATCAAGCCCAAATGCTATCTTTACTTGAGCAGTGTCTCCTCTACACAGAATGTAAGAATGAGTGGGGAAGAGAAACGGTGCAGACACAGTTTAGATTCGGCTCTGCACACAGAAGCTTCATCAGTGCTCGTCTATTTTGCAGTGACGATCATATTCATTTCCAAGGGTGCAAATATGCAAGCATGGTCTGCATGGGTGGATGTAGCCAACAGGCTGTCACCTGTTTGCTTCGGGGCTGCAAAGTTCAGGACTGTACTGTTGTGTTGTGGCTGCAGCCATCTTGTTTTATTTGTTTTTGGAGTCAGGTTTGTCTGTGGGTGAGAGTGGTTATCAGCTAATACAGCCGAGCTTGTTTAGCAGGCTGGGCTGAAACTGGACTTTTGTAATCCACAGACACAGATATCTGCTAATTGGTGCCGAGTAATGAATCAAATCTTTCGTTGTAATTCGGTGAAACTAAAGTACACTTTTTGGAAAATATTGTGAAAGTGAGGCTTAGCTGTGTGTTACAGCTCCTCCTTTTGTTAATGAAGGCAGTCACGTCCACGTGTTTGTATCAGCCTGTAAACATTTTCACTTTTAAATGTAACGTTAGCCTTTTTAACACAGGAGTGTTATGGCTCACTGTTGGAGAGGATCTGCCGTGTGGGCACTTCTTGCCATCTTTATTTTTTTAGCCTTTGAGGTTGCTCCTTGCCTACATCAAACTATGATGGGGCATTTAATATTAACTGAATCTTATTAGTATTAACATATTGGATATTTGGTAAAATAAATGAAATAAAATGGGCTATTTCAGTGTTCATTCTAGCCCAAGGTTTTGAGCAGAACTCTAGTATGCAGTGTTTGCGCTAAGCTAGGCTGCTGGCTGTAGCATCATAGTAACCATGCAGTAACTGTAACTTCCAGTGATGTGCTCCCTGCTCAAACTGTGACGTTATTTTTCTTTCAGGCTCTGTCCCGGGTCACACCAAGCGGCCTCCAGTCTGCAGCCCCTCGGTGAAACCCTCTCATCCAGCTGTGCACCATGGAGGCCTCAACATGTACCACCTGCAGCCACACACACACACACACTTTACACACACACACTTTACACACACACACTTTACACACACACACTTTACACATATGAACAGGACTTTGCAGATTACACGGAGGACTTACCAACGATTGCACAAGTATCTGGCTACTCCCCTGTTCACTCGACAGAAGAGGTGCACAGCCAGAAATGAGTGTGAGTGTGTGTATGTGACAGAGAGATGGGCAGGTGGAGTACGGTTTGGTTGCCTTAACAACAATTTGGGCAAAGTAGCAGCCGCAGCATCTCTTTTTCTCCGTGGGAAGATTTGGAACCCCCCCTCCTCCTCCTGCCTCCCCCTTGCTGTTGATGAAGCCATGGATTCACTTCTCTGTGGCATCATCTTCCTGTTTTTTTTTCTCCCCCAACTTTTTGATTTTACTTATTTTTAATCATTAAGAGAAATTGTACTGCACCAGCTGGTCAGACTTCACAAGAGAGAATGACATGTCTGTTAGCTGTCAAAATTAGCCTGTGGGATTTATTAAAACTACCAGAGACACGTGATCCATCGTGGCAGTGTTGTAGAGCAGTGCCTCAACTCTATTTTTGTGTCCTGAATGACTGTTTAAATCCCACAAGTGGGCATACTTTTCTTTTATTTTGTATTTTAGGTGTTTGAGGTTTAGCTCTACAGTTACATTAACAGGGGATTTAATGTTCTCTTTGCAATGATCCCAATGGTATGAGTAGATGTTTTGGGGTTTTTGTTTTTGTCTGCGTCCACCTCAGGTGCGTTGCAACCAGGACATTGTAGTAAATCCAAAAAAACCATACAGCACATATAGTGTGTCTTCAGGTTTGTGGCTGCGGTGGGAAAAGCTGTGAATGAAACGATGATCTAGTCTGGAGGCTGGTGTGTCCGCACCGAACGGATGAGAAATTGTTTTTAAACTCAGTGCATAGTGATGTGGTTTTTGTGTGTTTGTGTGGTTCTGTCTTAGGGTTATCTTAGGGTTGTACAAGCTTCAAATGGTTGTGGGATAAACATGTTGAGGGTATTTCTTTCTTTTTTGTCTCCTTTGCCTCCTCAACCTCACTCTAGACCATCTGTCCATCTGCTTCCAAAGATTTTGTTTTGTTTTTCACGCGTACTTTGACAGCTTTCTTCGTAAACCTTAATAAACACTCATGGATGATTTCAACCAGAATTCACAGGATGTTGCAGCCTCCTTGTCTCCACGTGTCTCTAGTAGAAGCCACAAAAACGAATCTCTCAAACGTTTTAAGTAAACGCAGCAGAACTGCAAGACAGAAACTTACAGGATTAATTACATTGGAGGAAAGGCTCCAAGGCAGTTTAATGACTTGGATTTTACTGATACCCAGTTTGTTACATCGCAAAGTATTTTACATCATGGTTGCACAGTGCAGCGCAAGCCGCTTGGATAAGGTGTCTTTGATTTGCCTTAAATGGGGGTTTCACAGTTTTTTTTTTAACAAATCGATGTTTAAGTCTGAGGGTGGAACTGTGAAAACACGCTTTGACCCTCAAACCTGATTTCCTGATTGCACCTGCAGCCCTCACCTAGTAGAGATCACACATTAGCTGCTGTTTAACCTGCCGACTCTCCAGTCCTTGCGTGTGGTGTTGGATTGCAGCTAATATTCCAGTGTGTTCCCCACCAGTGTGTGCTGCCTCCAGAATGCACTCGGTCACCTAAACACAGCGGGCGTCTCTGAGCCGACTGTGCTGCCGTGTCTTACGTGTGAGAAAAACAGCTGTACGTTTAAACCATCTTCAAGTCTGATTTTGCAAATGCCGCAACCTTCTGTGAGCTAAAGACTAAATTACTGAGGTTACCTTTTAAAAAGGTAGATTCTGGTAATGTACTTTCCTCAAGCTGGGATCCATTCTGCCGATAGCAAGTTAAAGATAAAATGAAAAAATGCCACAACTCTTCAGATGTCATGGCCTCAGTTTGTACCTCCTGGTAGTATTTGATCCTGCATTTGTTTGTTTTTTCTTCACAGTTTAGAGTTGTACTGTGCAGCCTATGTTGCAATGACTTTTAAAAGTAATTGGCATAGAAGGAGCTTGATTTAAAGAAAATAAAGATCATTAGTTTCAGTCTGGTGCTGACCCACATCAGAGGGTCTGGCAAATAATGTGAAAGTTTGTGTAGAAAATGGACAGGATTGGTTTAAAAAGAATGATTTTGGAGACAAATGAAGCAAGTATTAATTAAAAAAGGTGGGCGGGGCGGGTTGGACGAGTCCCAGTAGTACTAAAAGCCACGCACGGCTCCTCTCTGTGGCTCGATCTGAATCGTGCACATTTTAAAGTAGAAAACTGTCGATGTGGTACACTGATTGCAATGTAACGTAGGCCGATTTTCTGTAGTTAAAGGGGAAAGGGGTTGTCGTGGTATTTTGTACTCGTCGTTGTGTATAGGATGCGCCTACTTTGTCTACCAGGTCCACATGAGCCCCTGGTTTTGGATGATGACGACAGTGTATGGAGGGAATGGGAATGCCTCACTCCATTAGAATTCCCGCTAAGGCAGTTTTTGTTTCATACACTTCACCTGTGGGCTTGAAAAGCAAAAAAAGTGATGCATTAACTTGTTCGTTTCACTGATGGCTATAATAAATGCAAGTACAATTTACATGGGATAGATTTTGCAGGCTGCCTCACGCAGTTCTCCTTTTGTCAGTTTTGCTTTGAACTGTGCGTTGTGGAGATGGTTGCTCATGTCCCAAAATGCATCTTTCTGTGGATCATGGGAAATTGTTTCTTTTCACTCCCACCTCAAAACTTTTGCTCCTCATTTGTAATACCACTGTATTTGTGTATTTTAAAATTGTTTAAATAAATTAAGTACTTGTATGTATGTGTGTGTGGTGTTTTATTTTATTTTATTTTAATTATTTTTTTATATTGTGTCAGTGTGAGAACCTTAGGCACAGTCATGCTGAGGTCCTCGTTTATCAATTTAAACCAGCTGTGTTGGATCAAGGACGCGTCTAAAACCTGCAGGACCCCGGCCCTCGAGGCCTGGAGTTCCCCGTGGAGGCTGTGCATCTCGAATAAAGGAACTGACAAAAAGGATTTGTTAAGAATAACAGCAGGGTTTGAAAAACGTATGACAATATCCATCCCAGTCGAAGAGAGGATGATTGTTACCTCAAAAAGAAGCAAAAATCAGATGTAAGTCATAAAGCGAGGCATAACTACCTGAATAGACATAATGTACGTGTAACATTAATGCCCAGATATTTGAGCCCAGCACATGTAAGGTTAAAGGACAGAGCTGATGTATTTATGTGGAAACCAATTTCTTTAGTAGTTTAGAAAAGACAGACTATTGTCATAAGTAGGCAAGAAGTGGACCCAATGGCAAGGCTGTCAGGGAGATTACCTAAACGAGAACTATTTAAGGAATGCAGAAAAAAATGTGGTTTAGGAGGTAGAGCAGGGCATCTACTAACTGGAAGGTTGGTGGTTCGAGTCCTGGCTGTTCCAGTCTGCGTGCCAAATGTCCTTGGGCAAAATACTAACCCCAAAATGCTTTTTGAGTCACACACACAGTATGAATGTGTGTGTGAATGTTAGATAGAAAGCACTTCATATGAATCAGTCCATTTATAATTGATGAATAAAAATTAATTACAGAAAACTGAAATCCAAAAGTGTAAAAAAAAACAAAACTGCAACAAGGAACACAAATAAGATAAACACACGAAGAGAAGAGAAGACTGCACAAAGATACACCAGGAGCTATTTAGGGAACTAATCATTGACAGGAAATAAAGCTGAATTCTCTGAGACATAACTTCAAAGACTACTTCAGCTACTAGTTGCTGCATTTCTCACATTCCGAGTTTTTTTTCCTGTTTCTTAAGAACCTGATTTCAGTTCATCTGCTGTGGATGTTCTTTAGGTCTGACACTTTTTTTGTCCTCCTTTTGTTCAGTTTGTTCCCTTAAAAGTGTAAAGAATCTTAAAGCTAATCTTGAAGCAACTGTGTTTTTATAAATGGGCGTCTTCTTTTTCTTATTTTGCAGTGCTTCCTCACTCGGTCCCTGCATCCTTCACTAAATCTGTGAATCTTCTCTGTGTGTTCCTTGTACGCTTGTATACTGAATGACAAAGTCCGTTTGTCTCTTTTCCTCACGGCTAGCTGCTCTATACCTTATATCCTTTGTCCAGTACATCTACTATCCCTCCTCTGCATATGTCCATAGATTCATTTCTAATCTTGTCCATCCTAGTCACTCCCAATGAAAATGCTACCTTCATCTTCACTTCCTGTCACTTTCGTTAGTGACACAATTTCCAAGCAGTGCACCTGGAAATACTTCACAGCGCTTCCATACTTTTTCATGATACAGCCTGATTCCAAAATGGATTAAAGTGAGATTTTCTACACGCAATACCGCATTATGACAAAGAGGGAAAATGTTTGGTTAAGATTCTTGCAAATTGATTAAAAATGTTAAAAACAAAACCAAAATATAATATGTACATAAGTATTCACAGATTTAGCTCAAAAGTTTTTGAAGCACTTTGGCAGCAATTACAGTCACATCTTTTTGAGTATGATGTGACAAGCTTGGCACGCATGTTTTGGGCAATCTCTCCCATTCTTCTGTGCAAACGCTCTCACGCTCCATCAGCTTGGATGGGGAGCGTCCAGTCTGGGCTCTGGCTGGTCCTGAAGACATGCCTTTGTTCTCTTGGCTGTGTGCTTAGGGCCATTGTCCTGTTAGAAGATAAAGGCCAGAGCGTTCATCGGACCAGAGAATTTTGTGGTGTGCAGTGCAGTGAGGTGTGCTCAGGCCTCAACATAGAAGAAATCAAACAGCCACTCCACGAACTCGTGGCACAACATATAAGTGCGATCTGCATCTAAAGGACAAAGGTCATTTTATGGAGAATGGCTGTGATCACATTTCAGACGATGAGACAGATGGTTTGAAAGAGGAGTAAAGGAGGCCATTGATGCCTTCTGTAAATGACCACTAGACACCCCAGAAGCACCAACCCCCACTCACACCACACCCCAGGTGAGCTCAATAGGTTATGTGATGTGGAGGGTCATGGTCTCACAGTGGTTTTACCCTTAATCCCCAGTGATGGCAATGACCCATGCCTTTTTTCCCACTTTGGCTCTTAAGAACTAACTGTGGAAACTGTTGACCAAGTGTGAAATAAATAAATGAAATGAAATGAAATGAAATGATGGCTGACATGATCAGTGGTGGGTTAACGACCCCCAAAACGATGTCCAAGGGGACAACCAAACCAGAGCATTCTCCACCATTTGTTTTTTTGGGGGGAAGTCTCCTGGATGCCTCTTCAAATGTCTGCACAAACTAACAGAAGTCCAGTTGCCTCTTTATTCATACTCTCTAGAATTTAGGCTACTAGTTTAACATTTTACACATAGGATTGCCATTTCATAAATATTCTGGTCAAAAGAATTTACAACAATGATATTATGATGATGGCCACAAAAAGCTCCATCATACTGAGTTGAGTCCATTTGTTCCATTATTTCTACATTTCAGTTGCTCAGGTTGTATTTAATTTACGTTTATCGTAAAATAGCAAAGTTGTAACACCGCAAATGCTGGTAAAACATTATTTTACTGGTGAAAACAATGTCAGGATTGTATGTTTGTATTTTCACTGCATCAGTGCCATAGTGAAACCAGTGGGCGGTGCTGTCAGACAGTTTCCATGCCACTGCACAACCATGACAGTTATACAACACACCACGTAGCTGCTCCCTGTAGATTGCGCAGAGGTTAAGGCATCCAAGACAAGCATGGCTGTGGTGGTGAAAACCCCTAAAGCAGATGCAAAGCTAGGTGGAAAAAACAGAGGTGGTTTTTGGAGCATGGTGTTATATATTAAGCAAACTGCTGGGCGTTCTTTTAGAACATGTGCTCATTATCAGTCAGGGCAAATGGAGTGAAGTCCTAAGGGAACTAGAGGATGAAGAGTCTGAACACGCACACATGCTCCCTGTCTAGGGTTAAAGTGGGGCAGGGGGATCGTTGACGTCAGCAACCCACAGTCTCCAGCCCACAGCAACAGCGCTGCAGTTTATTTATTCCCCTGTTATTAACACTCTGTCACCTAAGGCATGGGAGCAGAATCACAGCAAACCCACTCGCCTTCAGGTGCACAATCATTTCCTTTGTGTTTTTGCTATTTAGTCCTGCACATAGTCACAGATAAGACTTGAATGATGAATTATGACAGTCAACCCTGATGTCAGCTTTCTAAAGGCCTTTCCCGGCTCCGCAAACAGGTCATGTGGCCGACAGGGACTAACTGACAGGAAGGTCATCAGAAAAACAGAATGATGGTGATGTGTGAATGCAAGATTTCTTCGGTCAGTGTGGGGCTGAGGTGGCGACCAAGTAATCACCACAGCCTATCGTAATAAAGGAAGGCACCTGTCAATCAAGTAATCAGCTCCAAAGCACGAGCCTCATAAATTCTTAAAGCTCCAGTCAGTCAGTATTTTTATACTGACAGTAATCAATTGGTTATGTGAGGGAGCTCTAGCACTGCAGTTGTCTTCAGTGTTGCACAGTGAGCAGCCTGTTTAGTTTTGCAGGCTGACACTTTAATGTTTTGGTTCATGCCATAGAGCAAATATAAAAGAAGGCTGGAGTATGTCCTTAAAAGTGAAGACATTGAGGAAATACAATGCCGTGAAGCTGCATTATTTCAAATGGCCAGCAGGGCCCATGTGAAATAATGCCCTTTGTGGCCATTAGAAGAACTAGCTTTTGTCTCCCCTCTTCTGTGACCCGTACAAACAATTTCTTGATGAATTCCTGGGCTCAGTCTTTAGCCTTGAGTCTTATTAAATACAACATGATAATTACGCTCCACATTAGAGCTATAAGTATGTATGTAAGGGTGCAACTTTACTGCCCCAGAAAACCTTCTGCAGTTTATTAATATCATTTTTATGTTTAAGGTGAGTAAAACAAAACAAACACTTTGAAGAACTCTTTGTTTCCCCATCAGACCCCTAAACATCTGACATAGCCCTGGCCTACAACTGAGTACATTTTTGCATCTTATATTTCTACTGTGTTTCTCATATGGTGTTTTTTTAATAACTCTTTTTAAACGATCTATTCTATTTGGCCACTTTATTTCTTTTTGTTTGTTTGGTATCTATTGCAGACTGCAAAGGAAGAATTAAATTGTACAGGGAAACATGTTATAATAAAAATTTGAAACTTGAAAAATCTTCACTTACATTATTAAACTAATATTATAGATTTTTTTTATAAAGGGGACTTCCAGTGTTTTTGTATCTAATAGGGACAGTTTTCACAGTTTTAGCTGATGAAAGTGAGTGAGAAAGTTAAAAGCAGCAGACCTCAGTCATCAGTGTTCAGTGATCCAGTTTTGGAGAAGATGCATGAAAAGATTGTTGCATTTGACCCCAACAGATGGGTTGGACACAGATTCCCTATATTTGTCATTTTAGTGTTGGACAGTGCTGAGCTGGAGCATCAGTGACATCAAGATGCAATAATGGAACACAGGAAAACTTCAGAAAGGAGGTACTTCAGCCAGTTTATGCATTTGTTGATCCCATAATCAAAGACTGTGGACAAACCCCGGTCTCCTGTTCAACAGTGTAGCAGTAAACTTGAGCTTAAGAGTTTTCTTTCTTTCTTTTTAGCACCGTTCCAACATGCTTTGGCCTCTCCTTATCTTTGACATCACCCTCAGGGCAACCTTCATTTTGCTTGCTCTCTTCACTTCCATCATCTTCCATTACATGTTCTTGCTGACTATCCGCTACACAGACAGAGCCACTACCAGACTGAAGAATACAGGAGCCTCTT